ATTTATTCATTTCTACAGTCTGTTTAATAAATTAATGTTTCACTGGTGTGTTATTGCAGAGTACAATTTACTCATTATATCACAAAGTATGTTGATGAGACCTTAGCAGTGCATAGAATAGGAGAGGAACCTAATAACATGAAATAATAAAATAGTAAGTACTGTACACACATGGTTCAAGAGTAAAATCCATCTCGGATAAAATTCAAGAAAAGGAACAGTTTCTGGAACAGAACTTTTACATACTTGACAAACTATCTGTATATTGATGATAGCTTAACCTTTCTAATGAAGAAAATATCATACTTTCACTTTATAACGTTTTTTCCAGATCACTAGTTTGTATTGTTACTGGTAGTGGAGCTGTGTTTGAATCAGTAACACATTCAGACATTGTCCCTGTTGTTGAGCTGATGGTGAATTTCACAAAAGAGCACCTAGGCAATACAGTTAGCTTATTTGCAATCTTAGCTATATATAAATATTATATATTATATTGAATTCATTCTTAAAAGTAAGACTACTTCAAATGATTCAATTTAGTCTCAGTGGGAGAGATATTTTTAGCCTTTTGTAAAAGGAGGTGCCATTGAATGCTTAACATTTCCTGAAAGTATTAGATTTTTAGGTCTTAATGAATTGCAACTTGGTTATTAGTATTAAGAACATCTTTTAATTTAAGTGCCCTGTACATGTTCAGTACATTGTGGTAAATAAGCAAAATAACACCCTTATTAGACATTTGGTCAAATTCTAATATGGACAAAATAAGCCAATGAATATAAAGGGATAGCATACTTAATACTTTAGTGCATGTAAATGTAAATCTTTTTGACCACACAATTTTGCAGGAATCAAGCAGAAGGAGCATGAGAACGAACATGAGAAGCACATATGATGCAGGCTTGAACTTGTTTGATCAAGTAGATTCTGAAATGCAGTATTTTGGAGGAATGCTGATGGTGAATGGAGCAAATTAAGAGCAGGTACAGTATGATGTGGATAATGGAATGCAAGTCAGCGAACAGGTGGCAGCAGTGGCAAGCTTGAAATTGGAAACTGGTGGCACTGGAAGACCCTGTGGAGATGCAGAACAGTAGCCTGCAGATGCAGACGTATGAAGGGAGCTACTGCTTGCTCAAATTTGCTAGATGAAATTATTAAGAATGTATTCCAGTTGGAACCCCCAAAAAAGAACAACTATAATAGTATTAATAATAATTGCTTACACTTATATATAGTTTTTATGGATATCAGATACATTTGCTGGTGGAAGCTTCGGAGGGGGGAAAGAGTTGAGGGCTGATATCCCACCAGTTGGACATCAACCAAAAGAGGGGGTAATGGGGTTGGGAGAATCCGATGCCAGGGATATGATTCAGGTACCATGGACAGTGAATGTTGTGAATGAGGAAGCCCAGACCCAGTGCAGACCGATGCTGAGGCACTCACACCCATGGGGCAGATCTTCTCAGGAAGAGATGGCACAGAGGAAGTGGAGAAATAGAGTAGAAAGAGAAGTTCAAATTGATACTTGTTTTTAATTGATAACTTGTCTTTATTCATAAAAAAGCAAGTTTGAATAGTACTGGTTAGTAGTTGAGTTGTGCCTGACAGAAACCATGAAAATATAGATTTCTGCCTGACTGGCCAGACCATGGCTAAGTACTGCAACTCCCTTTGTATACAGAAACTTAGACTATATATGATGTGGAGTGCTTTAGCTTTTTTATTTTGGTGTGAGCATCAGGGAACATTAATAGCAAATCCCTGTCTGTCAGTCCAGGAATGCGTGCAAAACACAGATGTCGCACCCTGTGTTTTTCCCACAATTTTAAAATAAAAAATTAACACCTTCATATTTCCTCCCTATTTCTCTTCAATCTGTGCAGAGTCTGCTTTACAAAAGAAGCTGTGACTTTTTTTCTGTCAATTACCTTGTCATGTATGGATGCTTATAATTTGTCTTCAAAAAAGAGCTTTTATTGGAGTTAGAGTTTGTTAGAGTTATTAGAGTTATTTCAGAAAGAACAGCTTTGTCAAAAAGCTATCTGCATGAAGTTCAGTTTACAATATGTGCACAAGAAAAACAACCCATTTGATAATTAAGGAGGGAGGACTAAGGATAGAGGAGTCCTTAGTTTAAAAAAATCAGAAAAGGTAAGGTTTTCATTTTATGTCACCTCCCCAGCAAACATACTGAGCAAGCAAGCAGTGTTCTTTCCAATTTGTTGTTTCTAGTGACATTTGCCAGGGATATCCACTGACAGCTCTGTTTACCTTAGAAGGAGGATATGTTTCTTTTCATTGTTTTCCTGCTAATGAAGTTATGATGTCTTCAGTGTCCACTGAAACAGAATCTGTGAAGCAGCAAAAAGCGTTTAGTTTTTCTTAGCAGAATCAATTTCTACACATTTTCTTTGTTCATTAATTTGCTAGAAGCCCCACAGTAACAATCAGATTATTCATGATTATTCACTGCATTTCTATTGCATGAAGCAGTCCTTCAAAATCCACTCTTGATAAATGCTCCTTTTAAAGAAAACACCATTAAGCCACAAACTTTTTTTAACTTTATTTGCCAAGAGGTCTTCTCTTCATTCAAGATGTAAATTTTTGATGTCCACTTAAGCTGAAATACCTGGCCTTTTTAGGTTTTGCTCTGGTCCTCTCTATTGGATTCGTTTTGCAGGACTGGTTTTCCAGAGTAAAAATGTATCCGTTTCTGAAATACGTATCTTAAGAAATAATATTAGCCATAGGATTCTTCCCAACACTGAGTTGAAACCTATGTCTCCTGTTATGTACAGAAAAAAATGTGAGACGTCTTAAAAATAATTTATTAAACGAAAGAAAGCTGTGTCACTCCAAGCACATTATATTGCAATTGAACATGCTGTCGTACCAATATTGCAGCATTACTCAAAACTGTTTTCACCATGGCCACTAGTGGAAACGGAAATTGAACACACTGTGCTGATACAGCAACCACCAGGAACCCTGGAACACTAAGAACATGACTCCTCAGGATTTCTTTCTCATCTGCTTGCTGTCTGTGGATGAAGGAACTGCAGTTGTAGTTGACTGCCACTAATGGGCACCTCTAATCTTTGTAAATAGCCACAGTGGGATATAATAATGAAACTGATTAGATTGAGTAGATTGGTGAAGGGTGTTTGTGCACATTCTCAAGCGAGATTAGAGTTTTATTTGGTATAGAAAAGGTGTGCAGGGTGCTAGGGGTGACGTACATCAATTGTCTATTTACATTGAAATTTACATCCTAGGGAAACAACTTATTTGTCTACTGAAAAGTACTGTTTTACAATAAAATGGACACTTGAGTGCTTACAGTATTACCTGTAAAATGTTTTTTGTTAAAAATCGGGAAGCCCTGTTCAATATAATACAGTAAATAAACCAAGTGAAGCATCTTCTTCTATGCCAAAGAGTTTCCATTGGGCAGTATGTTGTAGAGAATTACAAAACATTCAAGTGTAGTTTTAACGGTTTTTAGCTTAATTTCTTCATGGCTTATTAGTCTTTTATTGCTTGCACTGCGTTCATTACATGCATGCCATAGGTTGCCAACTCCTGTCGTAGATAGTGTGTGGCCAAGCGAGAGAGGAAAATGCAGTCCACATTCTGTGACAACAACAGCCCTCTTGTGCCTTCAGTTAGGATTAAATAAACAAAACATAGGAAAATGGCAGACAGATAAATAATTATCAGGCTGTTAACAGTAGGGAGTCTGTATTTGGAATTACTGCAGGAGATGGTACTTGAGGGTACTATTCTACACTAATTCTCACATTATGCTAGTGCAAATTCTCTGCTTTTGTAATTAGGTGTGATAATACCAGGTTTAAGCAACAACTAATATTTGAATGCACAGTTACAGAGACCAGCTGTGGAGAGGAAAAGATGATTGTATTTATTTTTTAGAATGTCCCATTATTATATAGCCAGCCAATTTAGATTACTGTATATATCCATGCAAATTGTGTAATTTAAACAATCCTTTGGAAAGTCTAAATAAAAAACTAAAATTGAATTATTTTAGGACTATAAATAGGAAACACTTTTTACACAAAGATTTGAGGATATCTAGGAAAGGCAAGTGAGGCACCCACCTCTGGGCTCCTTCAAGAAGTGGATAAGTGAAATGTACTTTGCTAGATTCACGTCTACAAAATAACTACAAAATGAGAAACTCCTCTCTTCGCTGCATTTCTTATGTTCATATCTTCCTAATACCTTCAATTTTTTATCTTTCGAGATTGGAAATAAAGGTTATCCAGTGAGGTTGTTTGATAGTGCATTTTTTTAATAAAAAGCTGCAGGTCAAAATGGAAAATAAAGAGTTTGCTAAAATAAAAATAAGACCAGACTAAGACTTCAAATAAGATTATATATTCTTATTTATATATTTTTATATCCTAAAAAAAGTTTTTATTCCTGACTTATTCCTCTTTCTTACTTTCCATTAAAATATTTTCTTTTGATTTTTGTCCTGAATGTTTTATTAATATTATCACATCATTTTCAAGCAAAGATTATTTTAATAACACCTCCACCAAGAAAAAAACACAGCCCTCTCTCCTGTGGAAAACTAATAAAACAATGGGTATTATTTTACATTGGGGAGAAGACTACAAAAGGGAATTAGTCAATGAGGTGACAAGGCGTTCAAACCAGCCTACTCTTGGTATAACAGGTCGTGAGAATAATAATGCAAAAATCTACCCTTGCTGCTGCCTCCCCAACGATTTCAAACTCAAACAAGTCGCAATGAATAATGTAGAGAATAAACCTTCTTTCCCTCACTCTCTCCTGCCTGCCCTTCAAATCCTTTGAGGATGACTGAGGCTCGCTTGTCTGCCTCATTACCGACTGTTCAGCCATTTGATTTCAGAAACAATGAGCACACACGCTGAGATTTTTCATACCTATTAAGTTTTTTTTTCCTCTTCTTTCTTTCTTCTTCTGTTTTCCCAAAGATCTACTAAATTAAAGAACAGACGAAGTGGCGTGTCAGGTGAAGCAATCCTTACCACTGAGGCCGTTTCCACTTGATGTCCGTGTCCATGCAGTGGGTGTGCTGGATAGGCCGCTGGATAGCACTGTTGTGTAGTGGCACTGGAAAAGCCACTGATGCCCCATAAAAGCTCTCCAGGAGATAAGGAACGAAGAATCTGGTGTACGTGAAAAGAAACATAAGAAAGGTTAAAAACTGAAGGACATCATCCAGTTCAATCAGTATCTTTCATTTCTGAATATTTGAATCCAATTCCGTTATAATCTCCTGTGTTGAAGAATAAAGCAAAGCTGTTCCTTTTGGCTGTCCATGGCATTGCGTTGAGATTGGATTACTCTTGGTGGCTTTTCTTTGAACTCTTACAAAGTTGACAAATTCCCTTTTGCTATGCAATGAATATCTGCTGTTCTGTTGTCTTCTACTTATTAAATGCATTTTATAATCAAGTTATTGTTAGTGTCAGGGTTGGTATCAAAGATTGGATTGTGTGTGTCCAGAAATTACTGATGCTCTTTGAGAAGTTTTACATTTTCAGTTTTATACCTGTAATTACTTGCTGTGCATATTTTATGAATATCAGCTCAATACGTACTGGTGGTTCACAATATATGCTGAGGTTAGAAACCAGAAAGATACAACATATAGCAAAACAACATATACAGGGGAACTTTTAGCCATAGGAGCAATGGTAGTGGGAATTTTCCAACACAAGGTACAGTATGTCTGTCAAAACCCGAGGACAATAATAGCAGTTCAAGCCTCAATGTATTGTGCACAATGGAAAAACAAGTTGATGTCTAGTGGCATGATTGTTGCTGCATGCCCCTCTAGTGCATTACTAAAAGCAACAGCAGCCTAAACTCCGGCAGTCTCAAGGTTCAACACTCCAGTATCTCAGCCCAATTATGTAATGTTCAGGAAGAGCATGGCAGATTGGTCACCAGTCCTCACACTTCAGCTTCGGCCAGAGGTCCAGCAGCTGTTGGCTGTTGGTGCATACTGTAAGTGGTCCCATATGTCCACAAACATGTGTCTGTCCAGTAACAGGTTGCAGCTGTGATCACTACTGGCGTTGGACCAGTTTGTCCTACTATTCCGGGTTTTCATTAATATGTTTATTTGGGTATTTACATGACTGCCTGGGTTCCTCAGCATCTATCCCTTAACTTCCTACTTGTTTGAGTTGACGGAAGCTTGTTTTTATGCTCTAAAACCTGCATACAGTGCTGACACACTTCAAGCCCTTGGAGAGGGAAAAAGATGTCATTCTTTATGATCAGCAGCCATTTCAGATCTTGAGGAATTTGTCACAAAGGGAACTTTCTAGCTTAATTCATTACTTTAAGTGTCGAACATTAATAATGTATTATAGACATTCAGAGCGCAGGGAATGTTTTTTGTGGCTCCCCCTGGAGCTGAAAACAACAGACTCCTATCATTAGGGCTTAGTTTGCCTATAAATTTTAATAGGCTTAATGTTATCATAAGCTTGAGGGAAAAGACAATGCTGGTAACAAGTATCTTCTGCACACTTATACAAGGAGTATATGATTCTTAATGTGTCCTGTAAATGCATGCAGGGCCTTTTATTGTGAACATGCAAAGAATTTGTTATTCACCAAAATAATGAATGCAGTTGCAGCAGATGTACAAATCTATGAAACCCATCCATAGTCTAGGAGCAGAGTGAACTACAGTAAATCAGTTTAAATAAAGTGCAGTGTAAAATTAAATTATTAGCAAAGAACTTAACATCAAATCTGACTTCTAGAGAGTGAATGATGCATGGCATTTTTTTAAATGCTACTGGCGCACATCTTAATTTTGACACATAAATCTCTTCATATATATTCAAATGAATTATTGGTCATAATGCAACTTGACACAAAAATTATAAGCTGCTTTTCAAAGCACTACTTAAAATAGTCACCCACGGTGTACTCTAAATAATAACAGAGAGCTATTCACCTGAAACAAAAACGTATGTGCATTTTTTATGATAATTGTTAATAAAACCTTAATAGATGCAGCATGGAGTTTGAACACTCAAAAATGCACTTATCCATTTGTTTCCTTGCTTCAGCTTGTGTCCTGTGTCTCCTGAGTATGTTTTTATATGTATTTTTTTTTAAATAAAAAAGTCTCTAACAGAGCACATGCCAAGAAGGATGTTGCTGAGGAAAATCAGTCCAACTCTAAATCGTCACAGTTAAGGGGTGTTTTCATTCATTAAATGGTAATCATTGATTCAAATCCCAGGTTGTGAAATTCTGTTCATACTATACATGATACATGATACTATGCATGATCAGGGAAAATAAGAGTATATAGGCGTTTAGGCGTCACACCCGAAGAAGCCTCAATAGCCGAAGCATGTTTCCTTTTCCTTTAATTGTTCATTTAATTGTTCCTTTGCAGCCAATGCACACTGATATCCCCACTTGAACATCTTCACATAATGATCTCAAAATGAAAATGAGGCTAGGATGTTCAGGGATGATTCAACATACAGTACTATCATCGCACCTCTTGCTAACCTGTCAGGGCTGACAACTGTACTGAGCATGATCACGTCTGAACCCAGTCTTTTGTGTGAGGATTTTCCTTAGCTGTGCCACAGTGTCCCCTGCTGAGCAAAGCTACATCTGCATGCTTTCATCTTCAGGATTAAACACTCAAGTCTCATGTGACATCTGCCTTTTGTGTTTTAGTATAGACATTATAGGGTATAATGTAGACTTTTAACAGGAAGCTGCAGGTAAAAACTACAATCGCACTGGTCAATGCTCAGAGCATTAACTACTCCCTGTCAGTTTCAAGATACAGTAACAACTTGATTGCAGAAGAATAAAAAGGATTACTCCTTGCTTTATTATGTGATATATAATGATTTAGTAATGGTTAGGAAATACACCATCAGTCCTACTACTTGAATTTTTCTATCATGAGAGTTTCTTGATATATCATGCTAGGAATTGTGCTTATGAGCCGAGTTGTTAACCTATCTTTGAGGAAGTGGGAGGAAACTAGAACCCCAAGTAAAAGTTCGTTCTGGAGCTGCCCCTTCACCAAAGCAGTGTGGGGCAGAATGTCAACACCATACAACTCCTGGGAGTGGGAACGGTGCAAAGCTACCAGTACTTCCTACTGGGGCTGAAACTGACAGGTTTCCCTCACAAAACAAGGACTGTGGAATGTAATTAAAAACTCTCATCCAGCACCACACAGAGTGGAGGGCCAGAGAGCTGGAGGAGAGGATCTTTGTGAACCTCAGAGGCAGAATGAGGCATGACGTAGCCAAGCGGGGATTCTCCATGGCAAAGGAGCTCTGGAAAAGGGGCTGAAGAGGAAATGGAAAACCTGTCCCTCGACGCTCATGCAGAAAACTGGACTCTCGCCGTTTCAGAGCCAGGACAGGTTTTTGGAAACAATGCAGTTGCAATGGACAGGGGGGCCACCAGGAAGTTATGGAGGAATTTTGTTGCATGAATCCAGCCCTATCGACCACTTTCCAATACTGATTGATTGATTGATAATGGACAATCACTTTTTTAGACCTTTTTAAATTAGTACAGATTTTCTGTTAGAGTTGTAATTACACAAGGTGATTCTTCTCTCACCTTTAGTATGCTCTGCAGTGTTTTTATATTTTTTCCGTGTCACATTTTCACTGAAAACCAGCACATTTTAGGAACAATTACTTGATATACGGTCACTTTTTAACTGATCCCAAACATGAAAACAAAAAAAGATATACTGTTAGATTAACATTTTCTAAATATTGATTGATCATAATTTAAATTCAGCTAGACCAGTGTAGCAAAAATAGTGGATTTGGCCTTATTTCACTATTGAGTTACGTTCTATACAATTCATATCGATAGCCCTGTTGTAAATTTAGATACTAGATTTTGTTAACTCAGATTTGTTTTTCCTAGTTCCTAAAAGGAATTCTGTGCCTTTTTCCCCCCAGTGACGTTGCAGTGAGTCACGTCTATGCAAAGTGTTGCTTGCTAAAAATAACACCTGCTACAATAGTATTTACATTCTTACCTCCCTCTTTTACTTTTCCATAACAATACCTTACAAGAAGCCTTTGTGACATCCCATCACATTTTTCACTGACAACCAGGTCAGTTTTGAGTGACCCTTAAATTTTCCCTTTTTTAAATGTAATAAATAATTTTTATTATGTTTGTGGTCATTAACTGTAACAGACTCCCATACAGTTTGTAACATTCACCACTACACACTTTCAATTATAAGGTTAGGGTTCACATTCTGCCTAGGGGCTTTTATTTTATACAGGAATAGGTGGAAACCATGTTATACTATTTTATACTTGTTACACTACACAATGTGTCTGGGTAGCTTGTTCCATACTCCCACATCCTATTGTGTTGTGGGAGTATTGTCATTTGTAAAAAATGACAAATCCTAAATAAAGAAGCACTTACACTGTCTCCTCTTATACAACAAAATACTGTACCATCCATTTTAATCATTTTGAGTAACCATTCAAATCAAGTATTGAGATTGACAGTTCATTACAGTGCCTTGCAAAATAATTCAGTACTAGACTGTAGATGGGGTTGCAGGAAAGAGATATGTGTGAAAGGAAGTCTCGGGTGTGAGGATTATATATGTATGTGAGCAGAGTGGACAAGACTAACCTTTCTTCCAGAGGTTTGAGTGTTTACTGCAGTTAACTCTAATTATGATGCCATCTAGTATACTGTATAAGCTATTTAAACACTGACCTGTGTGAAAGGAACTTGGAAATGGGATGGGAAAATGGCAGAATTTGTTAAAAGCAATGATTTTTAAATAAAAGTTTAGAAAACTATGCTACTATGACTATAAAGTTTTTCAAAGCAGACGTACCAAGGTATAATGCAGAGGAAATCATTTTTCCTCACAGAAGCGGGACAGAAAACCCAAAGAGAATTCATGGGCTTATGCTCACCTTCCAAATCTGATGAAAAGTCTTAGAAATAACTAATGAAGAAACTGAAGTGAGTTTACAAGCCATGGATAAGTTTTATACCAGAGTGGTGGACGTTTCCCAGAAACCAATTAGAACGTTAGGCAATAAGTGAGTTAATGACAAGTTTATAGTAATAGTCAGCTTTAACAGAACATTTTCTATATTGGATGAAAGTGTAAAGTTTAGGAGCTGTCTTTTTAATGCAGTTCACAGAAAATAATGTAGCCAAGGCCATAATAGGCTATGAAGTGTTGTATGTTGGGAAAAGAAGGACATACCGTTTGTGCCTAACAAGTAAAATAGAAGGAAATGTTAGGAAATCACAG